TAATCCTGTAAACATTTTATCAAAGATCGTTAAACTCTCGAGATAAAAAGTCTGCGAGGACATTCTTGTTTCCTGCAATGTGCTGCACATCAAATTCATATTGATTAAGCCACATTTGCCATCTCACAAGTCTACCTTGTTTACTATCACCTTTCATCTTGGTTTTTAAGAAATAACTGAAGTTCTTATTATCTGTCCTAACAATAAATTTATAAGGAGTAAGATAAATTGTGAATTTCTTTATGGTTTTTATTACCGCAAGATATTCTTTTTCATTAGAATGATAGTTCTTTTCAGCAGAATTAAAGCTTCCTGAAGCATATCGACATATATTCTTTTTCTTTATTTAGATAATGCTTTTAAAACGCCTCCCCAGTATGCATTTGATGCATCTGTTTCAATAATCAATTGATCATCTGTTTTTGGAAGATACAATAAAGGAAAATTGGTAAAATTTTTCTTTATTTTCTTCATGTAATTAGTATCGGTTTCTGACCAACACCATTTTTTGTATTCCTTTAATTTAGCTTGTAAAGGAGCTCTTATACTAGCTAATTTAAGAATATAATCTGAAGCGTAAGTTAATACACCTAAAAAGCGCATTAAATGTTTCTTATCTTCAAGTTTATCTGGGAACTTATGGATATGTTCCAAAATATGATTTTGAGGTTTGTGAAAACCTTCTTCAATTGTTAATCCCAAAAATTCAATTTTAGTTTTAAACAATTGAGTTTTCTTTTCAGATTAAGATTATTCCTAATCTATCACATTCTTTCAGAACTACTGCAACATGCATATAGTGTTCTTGTTCTGTGTCACTGAAGATGAGAATATCATCGACATATACACAACAGAATTTTTCAAACTTTCTGAATGCATTATTCATATGTCTTTGAAAGATTGATGGTGCTTGTTTTAAACCAAAAGGTACTACCACAAACTGGTAATGTCCTAATGGGCATGTAAAAGCCGTTAGTAGTTGGGATTCCTTATCTAAAAGGACTTGCCAAAAACCAGATTTACAATCGAAAGATGTAAATATTGTTTTTCCTTTTAATAAAGATAACAGTTCATCTTTGTTTGGTAAATTATGACCATCACCAATTGTTTTCTTATTAACCTCTCGATAATCAATAACAATTCTTCGTTTTGAAGTTCCTTTTTTATCTACCAAAAATGCTGGTGATCTATGAGGAGATTTACTAGGAATGATGACTTTCATGTTAAGCATTTCTTGAACTTGTTGATTAAGTTCTTCTCTATCTTTGGGTGTATAGCTCATTGCTTTCACCACAATTTCAGTTTTAGGATCTATCAGTTTGATAGAAGCTTTCATCCAATACTTGGTCTTATCAGGATCAAGTGGATTTCCTGCACAAACTTTTTTCCATAATTTTTCTATTATAGAAAATTTTTGTTGATTAAGAACAAATATGTTTATTTCTTTTCTAAACTCTAATAACCTCTTCCCCCTCTCTTTAAGAAGTGAGATTTTATCAGTAGTTATCTGAATTGGTTCCGGTTTTTTGGATTTAGATTTCTTTTTCATAGAACCTAAATAGCCTGGATTTCCAACCCTATAAGCAGTTCTCAATTTTCCTATATGGACCGGTTGATTATCCTTGGTCAAGATTATTCTGTCAGTGTATTGAACAAAAGGTTCATATAATTGACAGAAATTATTTCCTAGAATAAAATCCATTCCAGATTCTTGTTGATAAACAGTTGGAATATGAAATATTTCTCCTGATATCATCATATTTAAATTTTTACAAACTTTATTTATTGAGATTGAGCTTCCATCTGCAATATTTACTTGCAATGTTCTTGAAGCATTTTCCCAATGTTGTTCAAGAATAATATGTTTTGAAGATAAACAAAGGCTTGCACCCGTATCAACAAAACAATGTATTTCCATTTGTTTATATCCTGCGAATTTCAATTTACCTTTAACGTAGATTGAATTCGGGTTTGTAATACTGATGAGGTTATCTCACTCTGTATCACTGTTTTCTGGGCTTGATGTTCCTGAAGAAGATTCATCTTTCAATTTTTCCAGTATATAAACTTCTTCTATATCTGAGTATTCTTCTTCAATTGGTTCAAGACCAAATGATTCTGCAATCTGGAGAAATTTTACTTTCTCAGATATTTGTTTATTAGGACACTCATTTGCATAGTGACCTTCTATGTTACAGATCCAGCATCTGCAATTCTTTTTCCCTTTTGGACAAAAGTTTTTCTTAGGTTGAAATTTTTGTTTCTTTCGGATATATTTACCAGGTTTAAAAGTTTTTCTCTTCTTTTTCTTCTGGTACTTGTACTTTCTAGAGTAATTTTTCTTAGATTTTCCTCTATATTGTTTGCAACCATATTCTGTAGGTTTCTCAGAAATTTTAGAACAACAGTTTCTGTTAAATTTTTTCATTTGTTTTTGCTTTGTAGTAGCATTACAAATTTTTTCGATTTCTTCTCTTACGAGTCTCTTGGCATAACTGAAACTATATTTCATAAGATTTTCGGTTGCTTTATATTTTTTTGAAACATCATTTCCTACAATATGAATTTTTGCTAAATACATTTTAATGTATTCAGGATGTTCTCCAAAATCTATTTTGAAAAGATTCTTTTCGAAATCACAA